AGTAGTGTAGCCATATGTGTATGGCTGAACACTTGAGGCTAGCTGCCGCCCTAAAAGTTGAGGGCAAGTCTAGCCAACCTTGCCAAGCTAGCAAGTGAGGCCTCTTGTTGCACATGCAGGCCAGGCTGGAACATATGGCACACCATAGGGGCCAGAAATGTGAATAAGGAATGCCAGAAATGTGAATATGGAATGCCAGAAATGTGAATATGGAATGCCAGAAATGTGAATATGGAATGCCAGAAATGTGAATATGGAACATATGGCACATCATAGGTGGCAAGGCCAGCAGTGACCACACTTCACGGTAGTTGAGTGTGGTGGGGTATGGACATGCCATGGTGAGCATAATATGAGAGGAGAAAGTGCAGTGTCTAAACTGAACCACTTTGGTTTGAAACAAACCAGCTCGTGATTGGATGTTAGAGTGGCCAAACCCAAACCTGATTGGGTTCGAGCCCCACTAATCAGAGCCGAACCGTTCAAGTTCGGTTGCCTGGACCGAATGTAAACAACAGTGTACTTAAGCAGCCGTAGGCTGCCTACTGATTCAAAATCAGTACGACACACACATAACTAGCGTGTTGTTGTTGGAGACGTTGAATTGCCATATAATGGGATCCGCTGTTCCACTGAGTCTAAGTTGCGCAATCGTCAATTCGGGGGAACCTGTTTGACCCGAAACTTGAGCTTCTTGTATGCTCGACCCAAAACTTGAGCTTCTTGTATGCTCGACCCGTTCATCATTGCAGGTCACTCATCTTTGCAAGCTTCTTGCGTCCTTCTCTTCCTCCCTTCACAGCACTCTCCTCATCATGCCTCCATGTCTCGTTGTTTTCTGTTCCTATTCCTCTATATAGTTTCCGCCTCTCTGACACCCTCTCCCGTGTTCTCTTCCGCGTGGCCATTCTATATGTCAATGGCACTCCTTGGGGCACACAAAGTGCATGTTGCTCCTCACATCTTCTGCCCCCACCTATCCTATGCCAGCGTTAGCTCACATCCACGGACAATGTCCATGTTGCTGCCTTTCATTCCTTCGTTGCATTCTCGGAAATCTCGCCTTCTAGTGGAGCTGCGCTGATTGAGCTTCCTGTGTCTACTACACGCGCATTCATGCTCATCGTGGCAGAGATCTCAGTAGCAATCAACTCACTGGCACAATTCCGGCTTCAATGGGGCACTTCACAGACCTGACTTATTTGTAAGCTCCCGGCAAGGCCTATGCTTGGCTATTCTCTAGCTTATTCTCGTCTCTAGTGTCCGCCATTTCTCCTTCTTTTGATGCTAGTCCTGTCCTATGCACTCCATTCTCCTCTCTTCCTTCTTATCCAGGTCTCTCATGTGTTTGTCCTCGTGACCATTCTACGCGAGGATGACACTGGGGCACTTAAAGAGCACATCTTTCCTCACTTCTCGTGTCCCCATCTATCCCCTGCCACTGTCCGCACACATCTCACTGACAATGTCCATCGTGCTGCGTTTCATGCCTTTGTTGCATTCGAAGTAATTTCACATCGTAATGGAGTTGCTTGTTCCAACTGAGCTTGGTGCCATGCAAACTTGAGGTTCCTGCATCCACCGCATGCCCATTCATGAGCAAAACCCGAACACGAACGAGCTTGGGTCGATCGTCTATTGAACTCGTTTAGCGGGCGAACTGAACGTGTTTGGTTTCGGCCCAAAAGCTTCTATAAATTTTTTGTCGGAGTGTTAGTCTTTGTAGGTGAACACTTATGTATTTGCCTCGAACACCACAATCATGTTCGAGGCAAACATGTTTGTGTGTGTTCGCCTAGGGGGTGCATTTCGCTATAGTCACATTACAGACGACATTCAATTCTGCAATATACTTGAGAACCTTACTCCTTGAATATTTCGATTACAACGATTGTCAATGAAATGAAGCCCCAGCAAGGTATAATGGAGGAGGACCTAGCTAGGCGGGAACCTCAGTAGGCGAGGTTGGGTGCTAGTCTGGAAATGCCAAGCCCGAAGGCAACGCGAGTCAGTGGCCTCGGGAGGCGAGGTCATCGGATCGAGCCTAGTCTTCCAAAAAGGTGAATAAAGGTAAGCTCAGTAAGGAATAAAAACTACTTATAGAATGCCCTTCAGCCTCTTGGCTAATCACAGACATGAGTGTAAAATTATAGAGCGGGTAAATTCATGGATTGGCAACATGCGTAGCTTGTAACGTCTGTCAGTATTTGTAGGCATGAGCATTTTTTCGAACCTCAAACCTCGCCCTGGTCGGGCCGGCATGGCAAGAAAACCGGCCCTCGGCCATGCAACCATATGCTGGTGGGGGTCGGGCCGGGCGGGGTCAGGCCAGGGCCCAGCGCAAGGTGTGCGCACCCAAGGAGGGTCGCGCAAGCTGCTAGGATAGGGGCAAACGCATGTACAGAGGGGGGCACGGGCTACTGAAGCGTTTCCTTAAAATGTTGTCTCTCTGCTCGCCCCTCACGTGCCCTCTTCCCTGTAGCCATTCTATAAGTGGCTAACACGCCTTGGTGCATACCAAAATTCAACTTTCCACGCTTTTCCTGCCCTCATCTATCCCCTGCCGTTATCAGCACACTTCCCGTGGACGTTGTCCATCACTCTGCCATTCTCGACTTGTTTGCAATTTCAGGGATTTTGCCTCCCATTATGATTGTAGTTACTTCTTCCTATCTGCTGCTCGTTGCCATGCAAACCTGAGCTTCGTGTATGTACCGCATGCCTGTTCACGCCCATCGTGGCAGAGATCTTTCGAGCAATCAGCTCTCTGGTGCAATTCCCACTGCAATAGGCAAGCTTTCACACATGAATTACCTGTAAGCCCCTTTGCTTGGCTGTGTTTCCCTTTCTGCGCTTCATGCCCGCCCCACATGCCTCCGTTCTCATGTTTGATTATAAGAAGCCAACTTCTTGAATTTTCTTAGAGTAATCGGTCTTTTAGTCGCCGTATGGCTTGTTTTGAGGCTTCTCAAAAGCCGTATGCCTTGCGCATTATAGTTGCTGGAGAGGGGTTAGGGAAAGCCTGTGGTGCGGGATTGAATCGTGTTGTAACGTGTTCGGGCCTGTTTTGGGGCCAAATTTCTTCTCCGCCATGATGTGGTACATTGTATCACCCTGTGTCGAACATGCATTAGCCGTTCGACACTGCCGATACATTATTTGTCGTTCGACAGTTATTCAGATTTGACTTGGGTTCAGCAATGTTCGAATCGTATTCGTATTTGGTTTCTGGGTCAGTATTCGGTCAAATATGAAACCACACAGTACTCGGAAAACAATAATGAAAACATGCTGCCTCCATGTGATGTTTGTGTATAAACTACATAGATTGGGTACAGTCTGTAAGAACTTGTAGATTCCATGCAAACTTGAGCTTCCTGTATTTGCCGCATGCCCTATGCTCATTGTGGCAGGTCACTTTCTTATAACCGGCTCAGTGGCACAATTCCTGCTGCAATCGGCAACCTTGCAAAACTGACTCATCTGTAAGCCTTTGCTTGGCTGTACTTGGATTGCAAGCTAGGAATGTTCTGTCTGCATACATGCATGCATAAACAGCGAACTGAGTCTGACACGTTTCTGGGAAGAGAGAGTGGAGCGGATGGTTTCAGTGCCTGCCCGTGCTCTGTTTTTGGTAAGGCCTCTGTGCTACATTTCCCCCTTGCTTCATGCGCGTCTCTCTTGACTACTCTTGTCTATTTACTCTCCTCCCTCTCGCTGCAGGTTTGCCGGGCACAAGGTATAGAATGGTGTGATATTAACAAGGACATACATTGGAGTATATAGCCTATATAGAAACGTGTACAAGAATATGTCCAACCATCTTCCATGGCCGCTCCAAGCATGTCGAGCAATGGCACTGCTTCATTTGCGACCTCGTCCAGGATGGTACCACCACTATTCACAATTTTAACCTCTGTGCAAATTTGGCCGACATCTCATTCTGCTCTCCTTCGCCTCTTGGAACTTGCGCTCCACTCTGACAAATTTAGGAATTGTTCTCTTCTCTCTTCCAAGCCTTTTGAATATATGCAGACTGAGGTGTTGGTAAGATTCTCTTCACCTATGTATCCTACATATATTTCTTGTGTAGATTGAGACACGCAAACGTAGTTCGGGCCCATAACTCGGTTGAACTGGAGGGATGGTTGATGGTCCAATCTTGGCTTAATTGTTTGAACAGCAAGATTAGGTTGGCCATATATTGAACTTCCCAATAAACTTGCCTCGCCCTTGACCAAGTTTATTGGTGCAGGTCAATACATGGCAGTGTCTGTCTGCAGACATGCACAAAGCAAACTGATTCTGACACGACTCTGGCTAATACCTCTGTGCCGGTTGGTTAGGTAGAGTGAAGCCACATTGCTTTCTAGGGCCGACTGTGTGAGAGCTGGCTGGAGTCAGATTTTGGTAAATTGGCAATGCAACTTAGTAACCTTTTCTACTGTCAGGCCTCGCTGCCTTAATTCCTACTCATGTATCGCTTCTCCCTTGTCATTGTCGAAAACTGAACCATTGAACTCACTGGCTCAATCGCCATTGCAATCAACATCCTCACAAGTACAGCACACGTACAAAAGTACAACAATGAAAAGCTATGATATAAAAAGTGCAAGACTCCGGCTTCTGCTCCTCTTCTTTGAGCCATATGCCCTCCTCTTGATGCTAGTCTGGACACTTGCTCTCCATTGATCCCTCGTCCTTGTTGTCCTCTTCCTCTATCTTTATTTTTCTACCTCTCCCCTGCAGTGATCTCCACCGCAACTACCTCACAGGCCCCCTGGTGAATCTCCCATTCTCCGAAGTGGACTTGACCGATAACTACCTGTCGGGTGTTGTGTCTGCACCAGACTGCCGTCGACTCAACATCGCCGCCAACTGCTTCTCACCAACCAAAGCCTGCCGCCCTGCCATGCAGCGGCCCATAGCACAGTGCATGGCATTCTGTGGCATCTCTCCAACCGCTTCTGCCCGTGGTGGTCGGGGCGTGTGCTACCCAGATGGGCCTAGTTTGGTGCCAACGTGCCTGTGTGATGCAGGATTCTTGCAGCTTGGAGGAATCACCTGTATTTCAGTTGGTAATAAAGAACTTTTACATGATTTCAGAATGTCAAAGCACTGGGTTTTTGCACGTCAAATTCTTTGTGGTCCTTGAATTATGCACTTTACAGACATTTTCTCAACTTTCTGGTTTGCACACATTGGTTACCCCATGCTTTGCTGCAAGTTGTTCACTGTTGTTGGGCCTGTTGGATTTCAGCTACCACACACTCGAAAACTCCTTCGGCAGGCACAAACACCATATCAGTAGATCTTACCCTCATAGCGTTGACCACATGATTTGACCTGCACAGCTTAGCACACACGTTCAGATTTTCCACCACTCTCACCCTTCCCCATGCACTGCTGCCCTTTCCTCGCAACTCTTCAGGCTTCCAAGGAAATATTCTCCCACCATTCACAGTGCTCACCAAGGGCACGCAGCAGGAGACGGTGGGAAAGTTCGTGGCGAAGCCTGTGGCTCTGTTTTCGTACCCACCTGGTGTATCCACCTTTGGATGTGGCTTGGAGTTGGCCTTCAGAGTCAACTTCACCTTTGCTCTCATGCCCCAGTCGGGTACTGCTTGGTCCAGCGGCTTTGCATTTGTAATCGTGGCAAAGCCCAAGGCAGGAAAACTGTTGGTGCAACCCTACGGTTTGCACTCGGCTTGTTGTCCGTGTGCGTGAATGTGTGTGTGTATGGAATGGTATGAGGGCATGGGATAATATATATTTCATGCTTATAATTGTGTGTGAATGTTGAGTCATGATGTCGAGTGTGTGTGTCGTGTCAATAGCGAGTTATCGCTAGACGCGTGTTACGCGGTCGTTTGTGTCTCGCGCGCGGTTTCTATTTTGTCGTGCGCGGTTTCTATTTTGTCCTGTGTCGAACGTTCGGCGTGTCGCAGTTGTGTGCAGCAGACCCATCAAGAACTCAAGGATGAGTTTTTGATGAAGAGCCCGAGCCTTGGTGTCAAGCCTCAAGTGATTTCGAAGCTCGCCAAAAAGGGTACACCTCAAGATATTGAAGATATTTACATTACTTTGTGTAGTGTAACATTTCACTTGGTGTAGGCCCTAGTGAAGGGTAGTTTCGAGACCCTTCGTGGTTGGGGACAGTGTGGCACTGTTCCACATCACTGTACCTCGGCTCTTGGGGTTTGTAGGAGCTGGGAGTCATTCCCAACTCGTAACTCTTCCTATCTTGTGTTCTAAGACTATAGTGGCTGCCATAGTACCGTTCGTTCAAACCGGCGCTGTGTCGTCAATTCTTTATTAAATCGTGCAATCTAAATTGCTAATTGTAGAAGACGTGAAGACGCTCTAGATCCAATTTGAATCAAGTCATTTGCCGCTGTGAGCAGAACGCTATCAACGTTTGAAGCCGCTGTGCAGAAATCCGTCTGTGCTCTCTATCTTTCGTTTTAGGCACATTCAAGCCTATTGTGACTATAACAAAAACCTGGTGGTGTGGGGTATAGTGGAGTGGGACCCAGGAGCATAGCCGTGGTATTTGACACGCTTCAGGATGATGCGGGTGAGCAGCACGTGGGGCTGAGCATCAATGGTGCAGAGGAACCCTTCGTCAAGGAGGTGTCACCGTTCGCTTTCACTGATGGCAATTCATACACTGTGTGGGTGGACTACGAGCCTGGAGATCCCAGCACCATTCAAGTGTTCCTGGCAAACTCAAACGTGAAGCCAGTGGAGCCGCTGCTGCAGAGGAATGTGTCGTTGTGTGCGGTGCTGCAGCCTGGGGTGAAGCATCTGGCATTCTCGTTTGGATTTGTGGCGTCCACCACTGTGAAGCCCTTCCAGCTGCATGGCATTCTCTTCTCCTCTGTGCAAATAGGCAAGGCTTTTTTGGGGCAGGTGGGATGCTGGTGACTGCCAAGGTTGTTTATGACTGGTACTGACGTGATGTCTTCTCACGTTTGAGTTCCCTTTCTTCTCACTTCATTCCTAGCAAACTTCAATAATCCATCTCACTTGCACGGTTATTTTGTTTCGTAATCATAAATTCCACAGTAGCTGAAAAAATTCAGCCGTGTAAGCAGTGTAGTGAGTGAATGACGTGTTAAACCGAACTTGAAATCTTATGGTTCGTCCCAAACCCATTCGGTTTGATCACCTGGCCAGTTTGATCTTATGGTTTGATCACCCAAACCAATTCGGCTTGATCATTGCTCATGCTGATTGAACAATGCCTAATTTTATTACTCAAACATTACAGTAGGATGGGGTGTTTATTTGAGATGCTTTTCTGGGTACTGGTGATGATGGTGGCACCTGTCATAGCTAGGCCATTTTAGATATGATGACACTGGTAGCCTTTTTGCATCATCTTGCTACTCCTACCTTATAGTATGCTCTCCTTGTCCAAGACCCAACCAGCACTCTATGGCTTTTGTGCTTCTCGTTCTTGTGTCTATCTCGACAGTTGCTCCTTCACCCAAGGAAGTCCAGGTCGTTCTTGAGAAAGGTGAGCTCCCTGTCATGCGGCAACTAGAAGCTGGGATGGTTAGTAGCAAGCAACCTGCAGAAAAACTTTAACAATTGTTTAGATTACTGGCAGTTTCCGATCCAAAGATTGTTAAACAAAAATTTAAGCCATCGTGGTCCGTTGATACTGAGATACGCGCAGTACCACCCACCCACTGCCATAAAATCCTAGCTTGCTACTACTGCCATAACTTAGCTTGTGGGTCGCTCAAGAAGTGAAGGGCGGTGTACAAGTTGGTATTTATGATATTCAATTCTCCAGGGCGCAACCATACCCGATCTCACTGGGAAATGCCTTCAATTTTGTCGCCTATCCTTTCTAGCGGATTATAGATGTACTTAGGGAACCTTGAGCGCCATTTTTTTGTGAACCGATTGTAGCTCAAGTTATTACATGTCAGACTTCTTGGAGGCACAAACAAGTGCTTTTAATACCAGACCACGCCATCCCTCTCAACTCAACTGCTACCTTCATCCACATCTCTCGTTATGTCCAACCCTTCCCGCCCCTCACAGCCCTCGGCCTCTCATTATCAGTGTCCACATTTGCACCGACTCGAGCCAGTCCCTTTTCGCGCTATGTGAGTGCGGACTTCAAGCTGCCGGCCACCAGAGTGGACTCGTGGAGCATTCGTGATTTCCATACGTGGGACTCCGTGCCCTTCCTCAACTGGCCTGTCAAGAACCAAAATGACTGCAGTGAGTGTGGAAAGAACCGGGAGTTTTCAGTTCAGCACCTGAGCTGCTTTTCTGCGATGAGTGTGATCGACCGCAGAATGAAGTTCTCAAGTACCGTTAATTGCATTTGTATATTGTTGTCGTCTAATGCTGCGCTCATTGCCAAACACTGTTGTGGTTTGTACCGTGTCCACACAGCATTGTACGAGGCAGCAAACTCCATTGACCATCCATGCAAGGCACACACACTGCCATAATTTAAACACATCAAGAGGGATCAAAGGGCGAATAGAATATCTCAGGAAAATTTAACCAAATCGTCAGAATTTAGGTTTAATCAGGTTGGAGAGGTTGAGAATTGTAACCCCCCTTGGTTGAGAATCTACACCCAACCAAGTCGAGCCAGTTTTAAAACGAAACTATTTCAACCCCGTCCTTCATCACTCCACCCTTCTTTGCATCACCTTTCTTGCTCTACCACCTCTCAGATGCGTGCTGGGCGTATGCGGTGGTGGCGAGTGTGGAGGCGGCATACGGCATTGCAAAGCAGCAAAGCGCTCCCCGGCTGGCAGTGGAGGCGCTCTTCACCCTCATGGGGCTCTCCGACTCCGACAAGTGCTCTGCTGGCGGCTCCCCCACCCACGCCCTTGAGACGCTCGTGGCTCTCGATGCCACCAGTGGGCTCCCTGGTGCCAGCGACCCTGTAGGTAGAACAGCATGAGGACGTGATATGGTATGGTATGTATCACCTCATCCACCCAGCCAATGGACGTGGTATGATAGGGCAAACAACATGTAGACGTGGTATGGTATGTATGGTATGGTATAGTGAAACCACCTCATCCAACCAGCTACGCGAGTTTTTGATTGTATGATTATCAAATTTTCTTATTGGTGTCTCAGGCCCACAGATACGTTGTTAATTTGCTGAGGCATCGTTATGTTGTGGTGTGAGATTAGTTTTTATGCTTCTCATCATTTGCCTTGTTCCTTTTTTGGTGGTCCCTCCTCGGGTGGGGCTGCTGAAGTACCCTTCCCTAGTTTCAAAACTCCTTCAACCTCCAGGCCTTCTCCAATCTCACTCCCAACCCCCACCCCACCTTTTCCCATCCAACAATGCTGCGATCTCGTGGCCCCAGGCAACAACGTACCCGGTGCAGGCTTTTGAGCGAGCGCAGTTCAAGGGGTATGTGGGGCTCATGCTGGCAGTGCAGCGGCAGCCAGTGGTGGTTCACGTCGAGGCGTCTGCTCCAACCTTCATGCAGTATGATGGGGTGAGTCGCTGCAACTCACACTCAGGGTCATCGCTTTGATGGCATCACTTCGCATCACCTTTTGCCTACCTTTTGCTGAGGGTCATCACTTGGATGTCATGTACTTTCACAGAGAGACGCATGCCATCACATTGGTATGCTGCATCCCCTTCTACAGCTTCATTCCTCTCTTGGCATGTACTCTTTATCTCCCACTTTGTGAATGTTCTGCCCCCACCTCACTTCAGACTTTTAAATACCAGGATCCTGGTTGCTACACGGGCAGTCTCAACCATGTTGTACTCGTTATTGGCTACTTCATCACAAGAAACGATGGCAGCCAGAACCGCATTGCGCCTCCGTTTTGGATCATCCGCAACTCCTGGGGAGAGGAGTGGGGCCAAAGGGGACATATGCGCATGGACATTCAGGGAGGGGATGGCGTGTGTGGCATCAACGTGCTGCCTGGCATCTACCCCATTGTGAAGAGTAAGGCATCTACTACCCCACTGGAAAGAGCAAGCCATATCTACACTGTCATCGGTGAGGCGTGCCGTATCCACCTCTTTGTCAGGCGGCCATAACTACTCTAACCCGCTAGCCCTTTGGTAAGTGGTCTCTGCTGCCCACCCTCAGCTGCAAGCCATGGTTGCTTGTTATTCCTCTTTTGCCCATATCTCCTGTGTTCCTCGTGCCAGAAAAGTTGCTCCCAGGGCACTGGTGTGACTTAACATCCTGGAAGTGAAGGGGTACAAGTAAGCCTGGAAACAAATAACTCAATTAAATAGGGGTACTTAGTTCGATGAAAAAATCTACAACTACAAAACGAGCTCGAGTTTGCATGCTACTCGCATGTCTTGTTCGTCTAGTATCCATTTTGTTCTCTAGTAATTGATCGCCAAATACTTGAGTATTCGAGACACATCCATGGCTTCTTGTCTTCATTACCTAGCATGCTCTTTACTGCAGCCTAACGAACCAATCTGGAGCAACCGATCTGGAACATCCAGGGGGTGCAATCTAATGAACCAATCTGGAGCAACCAGGCCCAAGCCCGAGGCGCACATTGGTAAATGTGCGACTCAGGCCTGGGCAAGGTAAGCTCAGCAAACACACACCCTCTAGTTGCTTTCCGTTTGTTATCCTTTCGTATAGTGGAACGTTGTTAGTTTTTGCGGCTGGGTGACACACCACTCAGGGAGGACCCTTGGGGTGAGAGTTCATACGCAAGAAGAGGAGAGGCAGAGGAGATGAGAAGAAGGGCAGGTGCAAGGAAGAAGTGATTCCCCGACACTCCTCCAATCTCCATTCTCATGTCTTCTCTTAACGCCTTCCATTCCAGTTCCAGGGGACCCTTGTGGAGAAAGCAGCTACAAGGGCGATGGGGATTCGCAGCCCAGCATGAACCCGTGCGGCCGGTTCCAGTGCCAGGGGACGGCAGCAAGCAGCAACTACTGCACCTGCAATATTCCCACGTCCACTGTGCAGCCTTTTGTGGAGGTTGCAAACGGAATTGGCTCCACTTGTGCTTATGGTAAGATCAGTGGCAAGTCAAAGGGTGAGTAGGAGGGGGTGTATTCTGGTCTTACACAGAAGTATGTCGTGCTGTTGTAGCATGCAGAAGTTTTCTGAGGTATGCAGGTGCGTGCCACAGAGAGTGAGGACAATGAGGTGAGAAACAAGAGTCCCCTAGGGCCCCTGTGCTCTTCATGCTCCTGCCTATGTCCGATCTGTGTTAGAGGTCCCTCAGCTGCAATGGCCTGAGGCCTGGTACGCATCTGGCTAGGAGTGTGCAGCGCAGACCATTTCCCCCTTCTTCTCTAACCATATTCCCCCTCATTTTCTGTTTTCTTAACTCCGTGCTACTATCCACCACCTCGGAACACGTGTGGCAGTGGACGTGTGTGGGTCATACTTCAAGAATCCCTGCTACGTGGGAGCATGCATCAACGATGGCAAGGGCTCCTACTCCTGCATCTGCCCTCCCAACCACATTCCCAGCACAACAGTTGACGGCTTCCCCACCTGCGATCCAGGTAGGTGGCTTGAATATGTCCATTGGCCTTGTTTGCTGGTGAATTTTCCTGGTAACTACCACTTGCATTCTGAAGCTTGCAACTTCCAATCTTATTCCGCTTCTTTCAAAACTTCAATTCGTCGCTCTCTTTCCTTGCCTCTGTCTCACTCCGCATTCTTCCTGCAGCCAACACCACAGCCACCACAATGACAGTCAGTGGTGACAACTGGTTGTGTTCGGATGTTCATCCACTTGTTGGCCTCTCACTGACTGACTTCACTGACCAAAACGCGGTGGGTGGAAGAGGTGGTGGGAGTTACAATCCTTCATTCAGCGTTTCGATTCCACATTTTACATCAGCTTGTTTTCACATCACTTCATCTGTTGAATCTTGCTTCACTTTACCCCTGAGTTATCACTTCACTGCCGGTTCATTCTTAAGGAACAGAGACTATGTGGTATTGGGTACTAGACTGTGAAAAACATACTTACTCTCCACTCCAGGACTCACTGAGGAGTGGAAGCCTTGCCTGTGTGGAGTTTGGTTCGAACCTCTGATTCTGTGTGGAGTTTGGTTCGAACCTCAGATTCTGTGTGGAGTTTCCCAATGCAGGGCATCGACTGCAGCCAGCCATTGCCCAAGGGCAGTGTCCTTCAGCTGGATGGTACTCCCGCCACACCCTGCACTGCCTTCTTCTACTCTCTCAATGTGAGACCTGCTGCTTTCTTGCCCACACCACAGCATGCACGGTCAACTCAGATCGTGGTCCTGGGATGTCCAGGACACCCATTCGTTTGGACACCACGTCAGCATCAGCACGTGTTCCTGGCATGCCCTCCGCTGACATGAGTTTGCTAATATAATATCTGCTCGACTACTTGTCGAAACATCATTCGTGAAATCTCTAAAACCTCGGGGTTTTAGACCTACACTTGAAACTTTTGTTGTACACGTAATCAGCTGCACACTCGAACTGCACGTGTTTCCCACATCTAACACTGAGCTGGAGGCCGGATGGGTGTCCAGGACACCCCAGGACCATGACCTCAGCATGGCCTTCTCACACATCGCAAGCACCAAGTGTCACTTTGCCTGCTTCTCTCCAACCATCCAGGGGGACACCTGTGCATCCATCACTCCAGTGCTCAGCCTGAATGAGGCAAGTCTCGCTGCGCTCAACCCCGGCCTTGACTGCTCCGAGTCCATCAAGGCGGGCCGTTCTGTGTGCCTCGAGCGCAATGCTACCTTTGCCTTCACCGTGCCTGAGTGTGTCCGATACGGCACGCTCACACCTCAAGACACATGCGACCGGCTGATTCAAAGGACCAGCAATTCACAAGGGGGCGCCAGTGCCAGTGAGAAAGCATGGGCTGCGCTGTATCGCAACAATCCCGGCCTCACTTGCTCTGCTACCATCCCTTCCTCTGCCTCCGCTGTCGGCACTAACATTGGTGTGCAGGTGAGGATTGTGAGGGCTGGGGGGAGCGACCTTGGGGATGGGGGGAAAAATGCAAGGTAGGTGCGTTTTGCGGGGCTTCTGAGAAAGTATGTGCCTTATCAACCTTGCCTTTGTTGTGCATTCCCTGTTGATCACTTTGGTGTCTTTGATCCTCCATCCCATCCATCCCATGATCCAGATTTGCCTCAGGGCAGAGTATTGGTCGCTCACAATGGGTTTATGCAAAAAGGGTAGGGCCAAGCCTGTCCAGCCGTCAATGGCGTGCCCAGCTGCTTACCGCTTCTACGACCGGCCTACCTCAACAGCAATCACACGGTTTTACGACTACAATGGCAGGTCTTGCTCTGGAACTGTAGGAGTGAAGTTTATTTGCGTGCCATCGTCATTTTGACATGATCCCTAAATAACATAGTTCACTGCATATCAAACCTCTGAGGTAAATTCGAACTGTTAAGGGGAGGAGGACGATTATGCCCAAATACAGAATGCTGCTGGTTGTGCAGAAACATCAGTGCAAATCTGAAGCTTCCCTTTCGCTAATGCAACATTGCATGCATCTCGTACCAATCTCTACTTTACAAGGTTTCAGCGTATCAAACCAAGATACTGTAATCTCTTGGAGTTGTAAGGTCTGGTACCATATCGAATAACATAACTAAGGGTTTAGGGTTTAGGAGCCTAGGGTTTAGTTAGCATGAGAGTAGCGAGAGGAAGAAGAGGGTCTTCACTAAGAGAAATGGAAGTACAAATAGGCATAGGCAAAGGCATGCAACAGCTGTAACACTACACAGTAGCTACACTAGCAGGCAGTTTTATGAAAATATATAAAACACATTCTCTAACACACCCTCTAACTGCCTCCAATGGAAGCCATGTGCGTAACACCCCCTGAAGGGGTGCACGAGTAAAACCCCCTCACAAGGCTGGGGAACACCAGCAAGGGGCCCCCTCACAAGCTGACGAGCAGCAGTCACTGAGCCACAGCTGGGACCACCGTGGTTGACTCCCACGGCAGGTGCCCGCCTGCTGTTTAACCCCCGCAGCAGATGCTCGTGTTAGAGGAGTAGGAAGAATTGGAGTAAAGTGTCGATAGAGTTTGGTACAAGAGTAAAACCTAAAGGGGTTGTACCCCACATTGGCTACCCCACTACAGCCTACACCTAATTATAATATATATATAGTTTGACACACCCCCATAGGCAAAGTGGGGGAGAACAAGGGGTCAGAAGACCAGTCAAGAGAAGCAAAGCAAGCTGAGGGTGGATCACAACGTCACCACACACTCCCAGCATAGGCAAAGGGCCACAAGGCCAGTTCACATGCAGAGGTATATATGGAACAGCAACAGTACAGTGATCACTACCTAGCAAAAGCAAGCAAGCAGATATGTGATCTTGTCAAGGACCGGCTTCACATCATCTCCCGATCGCATGGAGATGGCCGCCAGCTTCTTCTCGAGCACGATCACCATGGGCAGCGTGTTTGGCTGAATCACGTCGCGCAGTAGCTTCCACGCCTTTGGATTGGAGTCGTCCAACTCAACCAAGTCCTTTATGTGCTGGAACATGTCGTTGTTGACCGATTGCAAGATAAGGTCGAACAACACCGCACGCCGCTCAATCCACCGATCACGAGCATCTCCTTCCTCGGACATTTTCTCTTCTCCCATCGCAAGTTTCAGCAGCTTGTAGCGCTTGAAGACGCTCCTCATCCGCACACTCCATTCCTCGTAGTTGGAGCCATCCAATGCCTCAATCTTGGATGGTGGCGGCTCACTTTCATCTCAGCTGCTTCTCCACTCCCTTGACTCATCTCCTCTTCTCACAATCACAGGTTTCAGCTCCCCCCTTTGCTGGTCACAACGTAGATCTACAAAATCTTCACAAGTGACGGCGCCAACGAAATTTCGGCAGTGTTTCCCCTTAGCGGAAGTCACATCCAACCTTTAGAACACCACTTAGGCACGCCCACAGGCCATGGTGGGTCTAGAAGGGTCTTCACACCTCAGTAGACTCTCCACAAAGTCCTTAATCAGCTCTGATACCACTTGTTAGAGAATAAGGACGGAGTCTAGAACGTTTAGGGGCCGAAATATCCCAAAATCGTTGGCTTGGAATTCAGGACAGAATTGTCGACTTCACAAGAAACGTCGTCGACGAAAACTGCACAGTTAGAAATGTGTCAAACTTGATTATGTTGTAGCCCTTGACCGTGGCTACCTTTCCCAATTTGAATCGTTCTAAAAGATGGACTATTACTCGAGTTATGAATTTCGGCGCACTAGGGGGTATGCTGCTATAGAAACTTAACTCAACCACAATAGTTCTCACAAGTTCCACAAAGAAAATTAGAGTAGCACTAAACCAGGTAGGAGGGAAGAGGAGGACGAGAAGAAAGGTCCCCAAGGAGTCCTTAACCAAGGAATCTGATAAGCACACAATTTCCCTCCCTATAGGAACCCCAACTATGACCTTTATCACTTTCCCAACCTCCACAATCCACCTCACCCCAACTTGGCCACACTTGCCAACCTGGTTTGACTTCTTTCAACCACTTGGCATCATCTATAGTGATGGGGACGAATTTCCCAACCCCCAAAAGTCTGTACCCCATATTGAGTCACACCACAAATTCCCATAGTCGTCGCACCCCAGTCAAAACTTCGAACGACCATAACTTTCTCGTTCTTGCTCCGATCGCGACGATTCTTGATTCGTCGGAAAGCTCTCGAGCAGAGGAGTCACTTCAGATATCTGCTCAAGCCAGATAACATTCACACATACTCAAGAAATCCAAATCACACCAAACACAAATACTTGCACACGCTTACACCACGCAAGCAACGCACGAACATACAATGGGAGGCAGACAGACGTGAATGCATATGGTTGCATCACACAACAGCGCTCAGCAACCCCATTTTTCTGCGGTGTGCCCGGAAGTGGTCGGAGGAGAACTCACCACCTCTGTCAGAGTGCAGACGCAGGACAGGAAGGTCCGTCTAGAACCGCTCGCGGGGCTGGAGACGAACTGCTCGGATCCAAGGGATCAGGAAAGCAGGGACCTCACCCTTGGTGCGCAAGGGGAAGACCGTGGTCTAACGCGAGTTGTCGTCGACAACCAGCAGAAAGTACCGCTCGCCGCCCTGTCCACGAACGCGGGCTGAGCCCCACACGTCCATATGGAGGGTCTGCAGGGGAGCCTCTGTCGGGGGAAACGAGGAAGAGTGAGGAGCGGCGCGCTGCCGCCCCTCGACACAAGGAAGGCAGGGCGGCTCAGGCAAGGCAGGGAGGGGAGGGAGAGACCTGGGAATACCAGACACAAGGAGGCGACGGTGCATGCCACGTAGACGTGGCAAGGAGTGGTGAACCAAACGGTGGTGCCAGAGAAGAGTCTGGTGTGACAGGGAGCGACACGAACAAGGGGAGGCTACCTGACCTGACGCTGACACCTCACCAGTAGCAGCTACCTGAGGAGGCACAGTCGTCAGTGTGTAAAGACTCGACCCTGGCCGACGGGTAAACGTGGCCAGGTGGCGGCCGGTCCGGGAGCACGTACAGATCGCCACACGCTGTCCTCCAGGGGTAAAGGTGTCAACCCACTGGTCCTGGAGAACTGCGTTGCTCACCAAGTTCGTAGAGAACGAGGGGAGGTGGAGACCTGACAGTGAGCTAGACAGAACCACTGGGCACGGAAGCACAGTGGCAGATCGTGCAAGAATTGGGCCCCCTGAGGGGTCAGCCAGAGAGACTCCAACAGGTGCAGGGAGTGGTGTGAGTGCAGTACTATCACGAAAGAAACAGTGGGAAGCATCTGAGTCAAGCGTAAAGGTGTGCAAGGCCTCAGTAGGTGCAGTACCTGAGGAAGTAGACTCGCTAGCACCTAGGGCAGCAGCCTCTATACCGGGGTCAGGCGGCACACACAAGTAACAGTCACCGTTAGCACTATCTTCCAATGCATACATGGCAGCAATATTAGCATCATAGTCAAGAGCAAAAATGTCTACACCAGCCCTAAGCAGCTCATGCCAGCGAGGACGCTCAGCCTCCTCGCCCATCTCGTCACGCCAGGCGTCGTCAAGGCGGGAGTGTGAAACTTCCCGCATGTTTGACCCTTGCGGTCACCTGTGCGAATGACATACGGGCAGCGACCACCACTCCCAAACCTCCCACACTGTGCAAGCCACTCACGAAGCTGTTGGGTTGTCTGGGGACGCTGCTGCTGCTGTTGTCGCTGGCCAGCGCCGGTGCCTCCACCTCGACCGCCACCTCCGCCGCCCCGGCCGCCACCGCCACCGCCACCTCCGCCGCCACCCCCTGCGCCGCCACCCCCTCCGCCTCCACCGCCGCTACCGACACTACCACTCGCGCCAGCACTCCCGCCACCACTCCGTCCGCCACCTCCTCCTCCTCCACCGCCCCCACCGGTGCCACCTCCGCTACTCTTGGCTCCCTTTCCCTTGCCGTTGCGGCGCCTCCCACCAGAAGTAGAAGCAGCACCAACATACTCAGCACCAAGGAAGTCAACCGCAGCAGCAGTAGCGTAGGAGGGGGGGAGGGGAGAGGGAGAGCACCCCTTGAAGATGGGGGTGCGAGGAGCGCCACGAGCAGCACCTACAGCAACAATGCTCTTCTCGGCTGCAAGGAGGTGCTCCTCTAGGAGGTTGACAGTGAGGTCGGTGGGACAGCGAGCGAGAAAGTGGCCTCTGACCGAGCTCAGAGAGTCAGGGAGGCGGGTTACTATGAAGTGGAGGGTCCAGTACATCGGAGGCGGGTTCTTAGCACAGAACTCTTTGGGGAGGGCGGCGCGAAGGCGAGTGTCGCTAGTGCGAAGGTGGGTGATGAGATCGGCAACTGTGGCAAAGGTGGACAGCTCAGGAAAGAGGTAGGGCAGCATGAGGCGGCTAAGCTCAGCTGCGGCTGTCATGATTACAATTGTAGGAGTAGGTGAACACAATATAGCCATGACTAGGATAAGTAGCGAGAATGACTAGAGCGGGGATGCCTAAATTGTGGTACAGCAGGGAATCGTGGAGGGAAGGGCAGGGACCATTGCGAAAC